GGGGTCGGGAGACGGGGCCCTCCCGCCAGTCCTGTGCCCACTCACCACTCTTCTTCTTCCAGGGGGAGACTAGCCCGGGGGAGAGGCAGTAGAGGAGCCAAGAGTTAGGACGGCAGGAGGTGAGGGGCCCCCTCTCTGGAAAGCCCGCCTCCCGCGGGGCCCGCGGAGGGGCGGTCAGCTGTCTGACCTGTCCCCTGTGTGGGGGGGAGGAACTGGACCCCCCAGGTCCACTGGGCCTGCCTGGAGGAAGGGGCTCGCTTTCCTGTCCTGGGCCCTGGGGAGTTAGTGTGGGGGAGAGGTGGAGGGCGCGGCTGGGGGGGGACGTGGGACCGGTCGCGGGGGCCAGAAGAAAGAAAACAGCGGTCACGGAGAGGGTCACATACAGACCCAAGACCCGACAGAGAAACAGGTACAAGACTTGGACAGACCAAAGCCGTCTCTCAGACACCCCTTCCCAGAGACACACACGAAGGCCGAGAGTCCGACCCACGGAGGGGGCACAGGATGAGGACGAGGACCCCTGGTCACTAACGACACTAACAAACTCGAGGGGTGGCCCAGCCCCTGCCCCTCGCCCTCCCCAGCCCCTCTGTGGGCTCACCCATCTCCTCCAGCTCTGAGGTCATAGACTTGGAACGCAGGGAGATGGCTGGGGGTGGGAGCCGCTTAGCCTGCTGGGGTGCTGAAAAGGTGAGGGGGGCAGGAGTCAGCATCCGGGGGGCTTCCGAGCTCAGGGACAGCTGCCACCAGGGTGCTGAGCCTTCCCGGCCTCGGTTTCTCCCAGAAGGGTCGTGAAGGAGCAGTCTCGGGGCAGGGGAGACAGAGGAGGCCTGCCCTCAGGGCTCCTGCGGGTCGCTGTGTGGGGCAGGGGGTGCCCGGCCTGGCCACCAGGGTGGGTGGAGGAGCACCTTTCTTGTGGACGGCCTCGTCCATGTCCGGGTGCCTGGTGACCATCACCACCTTGACCATCAGCGTGTTGCCCCCTTGGCGGATCATGTTCACGACCTGGCGGTGGCCCACCTTCACCACGTTCTGCCCGTTCACCTGCACACAGACACCCAGTGACCCCGAGCTGGCAGGGACGGAGGCACATCCGGCTTGAGTCCCCAGCACAGTGACCCTCTGCACCACGTCCCCCTCCCTCAACCCTCACAAGATGCCCTCCCACTCCCGGCCTCTGCCCTGGTCTGGGGCCTCCCGGGGCCCCAGTGTTGTGCGTGTCCATGTGTGTGGGGAGCAGGTCTGCGCCCTCCTCTGAGACGCTTCAGAGGGTTTTTAGAAGAAATTGTCAAGGAAGCAGAGGCTGGCAGGCCTGGGAACAGGGCTGGGTGGCTTGGCACCAAAGGCTGGTCTGGAGTGGGTGACCAGGTCCTGGCATGGACCATGAGAGACATAGAGATTTGTCACCAAGGCCCCAGGAAAGAGAGGGGGCCAGGGCTCACCTCGATGAGGAAGTCTCCCATTCGCAGTCCAGCTCGCCACGCCACGCCACCCTCGTCCACCGACTCGAGGTACTGCAGCGCCGGGAAGGCTGGGGTGGGGGTGAACTCCTCGATGGGGGTCTGCGCTGCAGACGGGGAGGAGCCGGCGGGGTCGGAGGGGAGGGGGTGGAGAGGCCGAGCAGGGGAGGGGGCTCAGACCCAAGTCACGGAGGCCTCACCGTAGCTGAGGGACCAGCACCCCAGGGTGGGGAAGGGGGTGTTGGGTTAGGGTGGCAGGTGGGCTGGGGTCCTCTGCCCTTTCCATCTCCCCCCCAGGTCAGAGAGCCCTTGGTCTGGCCCAGCCCCTCCCCGGCTGGCACTCACCCTTGGCCCCCCGGAGCACAAACCCAAACCCCTCGCTGTCCTTCTTCTGCAGCAAAACTGTCTTCTCCTTAATGATGTAATCGCTGGCAGGAAGGCAGGAGGGATGGGGGTGGGGGGTGGAGAGGGATCATGAGACACACAGCCGGGCCCAGCCGGCACCCCAGGGCCCCAGCCCCTGCCCCAGGCCCATTCACGGCTCTGAGGATGTCCCACCCACGCGATGTGCCTGTGCTCACGGCAGCCCTGGCAGGCCTCCCCCTCGGAGCCTCCGTGCTCTCCCTCCCACTCACTCTTCCCTCATTCATCCATCGGCATCCATCCACCCTCCATTCAGCCAGCAGTCCCCAGCCCACCACCGGCGAGGTGCAGTGCCAGGGCTGGGGCCTAGGCCTCCAGGTTACCGCAGCCTCCTAGCCACTCTGCCCTGCGGGCCACTTCCTGCCTGTGACCTTGAGCCCGGGGCTCCAACCTTGTGTGCCTCAGTTTCCTCCTGTAAAGTGGGGCCGACCACAGACCCTAGCCGCTGGGGCTGCGGAGAGTGCGGCAGTAAGGAGTGGTGGTGAGCGCACCGCGTGGCCCTGCCTGTGCCCATTGGGGGCCTTTGGTGTCCTCAGATCGAGGCGGTGAGGGGAGAGGACGCGTGGCCCTGGGTGACCCCAGAACGCCTTCCGTTACTCTATGTCAGCCTCACCTCCTGGGGCCCCTGCAACATCGCTTAGTCCGCACCGCCCAAGATGGTGGCTGCTCACCGCGCGCAGCTGTTTTTACGAAAGTTAATCGAACCAAATGTGAACATCCAGTTCCTCAGTCCCAGTGGCCACTTTTCAAAGTGCCCCATAGCCACACGTAGCTAGCGGCTGCCACGCTGGACGGCGCTGATAGGAACAGCACCGTCTCCCAAGCCCGCGCCCGTGCCCAGCTCAGACGGCATGGGTACGCCCAGCAGGCAGTCGGGGTATTCCCGTAAAAGGCAAACTACCCACCTAGTAAAGCCACCCACCCCCTCTGGGGTGATGCCAAATGCCTAGTAAAAGTCAGCGGATCTCAAAGACATGTCACTTATCTTAACACCTGCCCCGCCTCAAACAATAGCTGCAAAAAAGGCAAATGAATAAACCAAAATCCAACAACAGCCCTGGATTCCTGACATCACCATCATACACCTGGGGAACACGCGTCCAATCTATTCCGGAGGCCCCGTGCTCTGGTCTACCACAAGAATCTGCAGCCCCCTGGCTCCGACCCCACTTCCTTCAGGACACCCCGGAGGCAGGTGCCCCAGACTGCACGGATCGGATGTCGTGCTGGGCCGCAGTATCCTCTGACATCAAAAGCCTGGCCTGTGCAGACCTGTAGCCCCTCCTTCCTCGCTGCCCCTCCATCCCAGAGTAGGCCAACCATACCCAGGCCCCCTCGGCAAGTCCCTGTAGTACTCACACGGCCCTAACACACTCCGATAATAACCCAGCGAGCTCCCCAATTACCTACCCCCCGGATTCAGCGGAACAGCCCTCTGTGAATGCGCCGGTATATCTCAGCGACACCCCGCACGTCCCAGTACGCTCCAATAATAACTCCCCCTCACTCTGATCTCAGTATATCCCCATAACACGCCCCCTGCACAGTCCCGGCACACGCCAATACTACCTGATCTGCTCCTGCTGCGTCTCAGCACCGCCCCCCAGCGCCCCTGGTACTCCCGTGCCCTCCACGACTCCCACTGCAGAAGCCATGCCTGTACCGGGTGACAGCGCTCCCCACCTCGCGTGTACTCGCTCCTGCCCTGCTCCTTACGGAGCACATGTGCAGGTCCAGGGCCCTTGCTCAGCGTTTATCCGGGCCCTCCTCCTCCCCCTGGTTGCGGTCAGCCTGGGGCTGTGGCCTCGTGGCTGGATGGACTAGGTGTTGGCAGAGAAAGGGAGTTGAAAGGGCTGAACGAGGGGGTTGAGGGGAAGAGGGGCTGGAGGTTGAGAAGGCCGGACCGAGGAGTGGGCAGGGTCGGTGGAAACTGGTTCAGAGGTCCCAGCTGCGTCCCTGTGGCGAACCCTGACAACCTCCTCTGAGTCCTCATGCCCTTGCCCGTCCCACCTACCCCCAGGCCTCGGGTTCCCAGCAGCCAGCACTGCCCTGCAGCTCCCCTATTTCTCAGGCCTTCACAATGCATGCTCCACTGCCCCCCATCTTTCCCCTGCCCCTAGAACCTTCCACCCTCACAGCAGCCTCGCACCTGTACGAACCTTGTCCAAGTACCCTGCCCTCCGGCAAAACCGCTGAAGCCCCGTGTCTACGTACGCTAAGCCCTTCATAGGCAGAGTTCGACTGTGTCCACACAGCCAGCGGCTGAGTGGGTGTCCTCATTCCCCACTGCGGGTGAGGGGACAGGGCACAGAGAGCCCAAACATCTAGCCAGAGGTCACACAGACTGTGACTCCTCAACCAGACCCAGGCGCATACCTGGGTAACCGCAGCAGTAACGCCCTCCACTCCACAGCACCCACACACCTCAGGCACTGTAGGCCACCCCGAATTCACCAAGAGACTGCCCCTCCGGCACCTGAACTTTATCCTGGGTTGGCCCCCCAGGTCAACACCACGATGACCAGTGCTTACTGAACCATTGCTGAACGCCAGACACGGTCCTGGGCATGTCCCGTTTGTTTATCCTCTCAACCCTCCCAGCCCCGCGAGGGCTGGCTTCTGTCGTTCCCATCTTACGGGTGCGGAAACTGAGGCACAGAGAAATACACTTGCTCGAGATCACACCAAAGCCAAAGTCGGATTTCCCAAGAAGCAACCGTACACCTGAATAGTGTCCATACCACAGCACCTCCTCTGTGCCTCCTTGTCACCCCCACCCCACCTGCTCCTCTCTCCTCCCCACTCCCAAGGCTGGCTCATGGCTTTCCACGGCCATAGGTGTTTCTCCTTCTTCTCCCCTTCCCTGGCTTCCCCAGCAGCCTCAGCCCCACAGCTTTGGCAACTCTGCACAGTCTCCGCTCCTCGCTGTATGCCTTCCCCCTGCACGGCCTCCCCTCCTCCGTGTGCGCCCTCCCCTCTGCACTGCTGTCTGAAGCTCCACGTGGGCTAGCCCACGCCCCTCAGCCCTCCACTCTGCAAACCCTCCACCGCCCATCTGGCCCTGCACCCTCGCCCCTGTCCCCAAGGTGTCCTCCTCAGTCTTCAGTGACCTTCTCGTCCTCTCATCCCACCTCTCTCCCTCCTCTGGCCTCATCCCTCTCCCATCTGCTCATGCCTCCCTGCATGGCTCTCCTGTGTCCCCGGAGCCCCCTAGGTTGCTTTCAGATTCCCCAGTTGCTCCTAGCTCACCCGTGGAGACCCCTCCCCACTCTGCCGCCCTCCGGTCTCCGGTCAACGCGTGGCACAGGCTGGTGCTCCTCTCCCATGCGGCTGCACTTCATCGGCATCCCTGGCACCCTCTTCCGGGGCTCTCGGAGCTGCCCAAGCCCCCACCGCCAAGTCCTCCCCATTCCCTGCCTTCCCTCCTCACCCCATTGCTCCTCCACGCACCCCAGGGCAGCTGGCTCTGCCCTTCCCCCCACTTCAGTACCCCGACTCTGCGCCTCCCACTCTCATTCCTCCACCTCCTTCCAGACCCTGCAGCCCCGCCCCCCAGCATCCGCTACCCGCACAGCACCCCATTCATGCTCGGCACTGCTAGCCCTCTGGAGCCCAGCGCCAGCCCTCAGATCACCGATCAGCGGGTCCCACACACGCAGAGACTGCGGTCGGTCCGCTTCCCCGCCCCGCCCCCCCGAAGGTCCCCTCGCACACCCGGGACCCCGCGGCCCAGAGCCTGCGGCGGTACAGGCACCCCTCAGCTACTTGGCCCCCACCCCGTGCCCATCTCCATGGCCCCCATGGCTGCCCAGAGGACCCTGCAGGGAAGCCAGCCCCTCCCCATGCTGAGAAGTGGCACACAGCACATGCAAGTCCCCATGCAGGAGCTCAGCAGCTCTCACACGTGCCCGTGCAGGGGAGGGCAGAGCCAGCGCTCAGCGCCCCACGGGCAGAGGCCCCAACAGGGAGAGGGGCACCTGGGCACAGGGACACAGGAGGGGTCAGTGCAGAGGAGCTGGGGGAGGGCGGGCCAGCCCTGGGAGGGTGGGTGTTGGGAAATAGCCGCAGTCCCTGGGACAGACCCACTCCATCACACACACACACGCGCACACGCACACGCACGCATGTTCAGTCCCCAGACAGCCTCGATATCGCTCCAAGTCACACACAGAGACAGACGCCGTCACACAGGGACACACAGACGGACACAGCCGGGGGGTGAACTAGGAGCCCACCATCCCTCCATCCCTCTTGCCTCCCATTCACACACACACACACGCGCGCGCCCGCGCACACGCACACTGACACAGCCTCACTGACACACGCACAGTCGCACAGTGACACGCAGCGGAAAAAGGGGAGGGGAGGAGGGGAGGGGAGGGGAGGGGAGGCCCCGCTGCGTGTGCGATGGAGGGGCTGTCTGTGAATGGCAGAGGGCTATGAATGGGGGACTCGCCAACTCCGGGAGAGCGGTGGGGCTACGGGCTGTCCTGGCGGAAGGCCCCGGAGCTCCCCGGGAGGGCCCCACCGTGTGGGCGCCAGGACCACAGGGAGGGGAGTGGGCTTCAAACCCAGAGGCGGGGTCCGCAGGGCCTGGCCGGGGAAGGTCTTGGGAGAAGAGCCAAGGGGGGCCTGGAAGGCCGCGAGGGGGAGGAGGACAGAGCCCCAGGGCTGAGGGAATGGGGGGTGTCGGACAGAGGGGCCCAGGGCAGGATATGGAGAGGGGTTGAGAAGACGAGTCCGAAAGGGTCCGGGCGACGGAGGGGAGGGGGCGGCTCGGGAGGGAAGGACCCCAGGCGGGGGATGAGCGGCTGGGGAGGGTCGTCACAGCGCCGGGGCCTCCGGCCGGCCGCGATGGAAGGGGCGGCGCGCTCCGTTACCTGTAGATGTACCCGACGCTGCGCCGCCGGGGCCCCACG